AAAGGTTGATTGTGCCATCTGCGTTTACCATGGACGACCGTCCAGACGACTGAAGCCAGGTGCCAAGTTGCTTGACACCGCTACGGTAGCTTCGCTTGGAGCTCATTGCAAGTCGATTGTCACTAAGGTCGTGAACTGTTGTTGACAGTTTTCGAGTTGTAGTGGGCAACAAAGGGTCATTCGACGTCGTTTCTGCCATGTTGGAGCAATAGGGAGATTTCGCAAAGTAATCCGTGTCCGTTTCCGTAGTAATTACCCTCAGTAATTAGTACAATCACGGAGACTGATGAAACTTTATAGAGGAATCCGTGAAAAGAGAAGCAATCACGGATTCGAATAATCCAAAAAATAGAGGTTATCCGAACAGGAGGGTTCCATTCGATGGTTTCGTGTGCTACATACAGTATAAGCAGGTTGAGAAGCGAGGATGACTTGGCGCTGTGGATAAAGGCCAACCACGAGCGACCATTCCTCCAACATCTGGTCATGAAGTCTTGGGGGGTGCTCGCGTGCAACTTGCTTAAAGTTCCTGGCTTCTCTTGCCAAGCTCGACGTTGACAGCAAGAAAACATCGCACAGGTTCCACCTGATCCTCGACAACCACGAAAAGTTCCAGAAGGATTCTGTGTATTTGGATGGTGTTGACCGACGGTAGAATTGTGCGAGCAGAAGTCTGCGATGACGGGCAGGCCTCGCGAAGCAAGAACGCTTGGCGACAGCATTATTGCAAAGTAGCAGATTCCGAGGACCTTTTTTTGTCGCACACTAAATAACGAAATACACACAGAAACACCGAAAAAAACACAAATTTTAACGAAAAACACGCACGACCCAATAACACAATACAAATCCCGAGTTCCACACAAACTTCGCCGAGCACAACACATAATTCACCGAATTCCACACAAAAAATGCCTAATCCACACCAAAATTCCAGAACAGTTAGGACGGAAATAGATAACATCTGACCCATCCATTTCCAGCTTGCGGACAAATTGGGATCGATCCCTTGGGAAAAATATAACGTCAGTGATACAGAAAACTTGCTGTCATCATGCTATCATCATGTTGTCATTATGTTATAGTCGCCGCATGTTACAGTGGATTGTCACAATATTAAGTAGTACCACTAGTACTACTTTGTGACAAGCGACAGTAGTACTATAGTACTACTATCGCTTGTCACAAAGTAAAAAAGATTATTCGCCGAATGAGCTGCTGTGCTGTTACTTCTCCCTGGGACTTGGGTGGTGAGTGCTTCAACTGTTGGACAGTGTGACATTCCATCCACCGGAATTATGGCGGTAACGTGATGAAAACGTGAAGGAATGCATCGTTAAGCCAGGTATGAAAAACGTTAAGACCCACAAAAATTCTGATATAATGGCGTTTTTATCACACTGACCGGTGTGATGGGCCACCAAATACACCAGATGGGCCAAAAACAGCCCTTGAAGTTCAAGGATGTGCGCTCGATCACCGATAATGTCAAGAATTAGGTGGGATGATTGCCACCACAGCGAAATACGTACTACTATGTAGTACTAACATTACAGTATTCTGGCAGATCATCTGGTTTTGCAAAATGAATCTTGGATGAAATCTAGATCCAAGCAGCATTTCGAAACGTCGCGGCATGTCCTGAATTGATGCGACTACTGAGATTGCAGAAAAAATTCATTTACTGTTAATTGAACAATTTCAGTAAGATTGTAGCCACCGTCGCATGCCCCACATACGCAAGTGATGTTCCACACCGCGTTCATGTAAGAGAGCGTCAATATAGTGCCTTGCTCGAGAGCAGTGTTCGCGACCACCATGAGTCTTGGTTTAGTGTCTACATACCATACCTCGAAGCGGCAATTCGGAACGCAGGCATGATTGATAAACCGCGAGTTGTTACCGAACTTCGAGGCGTCAACGTACAAGTCTCCGTTGGTGCCCACACGCGCGATGTACCAATCCTTCGCGCCATGACGCTTTTCCTTCCGTGCTGCAACCTCGTCTTTGCCGATGTGTTCACCCACGTACTCGATGATTTTTGTTCCTGCAGGGACACTTTCATCGACACGCAATGCATGGGTCAACTTTGAATCAGCAACAACTGTTGTGGGGGGGAAGAGTTTCTTGAAAATGGCTTGGTTTTGGCAAAGCTCATTAGCGCTGCATTGTCCTGGGGCGCATTCCGTCTGCGTGAGGAGGTTGTCGCAAAGCTGGACTAGTGTGCACGGAAACTGCTTCGAACATCTACGGCAGTGCGGGTTGTGTGTGTCGGTGCCGAATGCTACACCACGAGACGATCGTGCACGCCTTGGGGCAAGGCTGTTGGTCGCGGGCAGACAGTCATTAATGTGATGGTACACCTCAGAGAGGGCAGTTGGTGGTACTACCTCAAACTTCATGCGAACTTGGTGCTGCTCGTACTTCTTGAGCTGTTGCTCCCTTTCCATTTTTCTTGCTCGCCAAAGTGCCTTGAAGGCTTCAAAGGCTTCCACTTCGGAGTCGTCGCTATCACAAAGGTCGATGATTTCCACGTCTGCTGCATCTTCAGCTGGGCGGGGGGGGGTCTTCTCGATGGCCCTCGTTATCAGTGTTTGGGAGGGGGTTTGTTGTCGGCTTGGTGACGGTGGACGCTGGTGCGGCGTGGGTCGAGGTGGGGGACAAATGTGGGCCGGTCAAAGTGGCGTACGGAGTCATATGACCCAAAACACGACTGCGTGAAGGGTCATTTGGCGCTGGCTTGGCGGCTGAGGAATTTGGTGTAGTGCGGATCGGCTGGGGGGACGACCGAGGGCCAGTCTGGGTAGTCTTTCGACCTTTGGGTTTCGACTGGGTATGGGCCGTGGCGCATGGTGCGTAATCACTTCGGACCGGTGGGACTTCACCTTGGGTCGTGGATTGGAAGTACGCATCCAATTCGAGGTACTTCCTTCGAATTTCGCTCTCGATGAAACAGTCTTCACCAACCACAGCGGCGTGGCCTGCAATACAGCATTGCGATTCGTTCTGGGCTGGTGTAGGGGGGCGGTGGCATTCGGTGCCACTTGAGATCGCTTGCCGATGGTCAGATTTTCTGTCGTTGAAGCGCCTCGCGAGGTCCGTAAGGGGGTGGGGGACGTCCAAATCACATGTGCCGTGTCGCAAGGATGACTTGTGGCTGGCTTTGGCTGCGCGGGCGTCGGTCTTCGGGTGACAAGGGAGTTGAACAAGCGCTCAATTTGACTATTGGATGGTGGGTTTGGGGATGCCTTGCGAGCGTCGGACATTAGTCCGGCATGGACCGATTCCTGAGAACTCGGAGGGACACTTCGGGTTTGCCTGGTTGCAGTGGCCCTTGCGACAACACGGTCACATGAAGAAGAAGAGGGAGCGGAAAAGCTGTCGGGCGCCAGCAATGCGTCAAAGTGGTAGTCGTCAAGAAAATCATCCCGAGCGATGTCGTCGTTGGCTATGGGGTGCATGATACGCTTTCGATGGGGCTGCCGCACGTACTCATGGCCCCCAGTTGTTCCTGTGTGCACCATGGTTTCGGGGCAGAGCCGTTGTCGTTTCGCTGCCAGAATTTCCCCGTCCGGTATTGCTACGCCGACCCAAAAGTCTCCTTCGTCACCTGGCTGTGTCTGACTTCCTTCGTCTTCCCAAAAATCACCATCATCACCGGACGATGCCTGACTCGCTTCGCTGGAGCTGGCAGTGGAGCCGGCAGTGTGGACGAACCGGACGGCGACTCGGCGACACCACTTCGCGAGGTAATGAGGGGTCTTACACTCGGGGTGGTCCTCGTCACTCCATTCGGGCCACAACGCCCGCACTTTGTCCCGCATAGCACCAGTGTACAAAGGCTTTGGTGCAGCTACCAGCCATTCGTGCAATTCTTGGTGTCTGCTGTCAACGCACAGTTTCTTGCGCTTCTTCGACTTTTTCCTGGGCTTGTTAGTTTGGAGGGACAGCACGTGCTTGTTCACGTCGGCTGTACACACGGAAGCGATTTCGTCCTTCTTGATCAGCCATTTCTCAAACGTGGACACCGGGATCTTCCTTGCCCGGCAGTAATGGACAAGCGTTGTCCCTCCCCATTTGAGCTCGTCCCACGCTTGTAGGGCTTCTTGTTTGAAGGCATAGGTTCGGTGCACCGGAGGACGCTTCGCCGGTGCACAGCTCGTGACCTCGCCGATATCGAAAATGCGCCACTCACTCACCAACCCGTGGTCGACTTGGAGGTGAGAGCTTTGATTGAATTAAAAGTAAGCCGTGCTTACAAATACCAAGGTATTAATTTGTCGTTGCATGTGTTCATGGTGGTCAAAACTCGGCACCACAAACGTAGTGTCGATTTTGCTGGGGATTCTCCGATATATTTTCAATAATAGCGTGACATTAGATTGCAACTATACTTTATCCAAGTACAACTTCGTGGAGGGCCAAATAATTAACAGAGGGACAGCAAAAAAATCAGAGTCACCATCTATCAAGGTCACCACCTATCAAGGTCGCCACCAATCAAGGTCGCCACCAATCAAGGTCGCCACCAATCAAGGTCATGGAGCTCCAACTGGGAACACGTGTAGAACACCTGCTGTGGCGCGCGCCTGTTGTACAGGCGAACAACGAGCAGGAGAGCGTTGCTGCTGCGAACAGTGTGGGCAAAGTCGACTACGGTGACGAGGAGGGCGAAACGAGGGAACAGTCGGAGGGACAACTCGTCGTAGTGCCCGACTGGCCCAACCAACGCAAACGATCTTAACCCCGGGTGAACTACACATGGATCATGGTGGGAGACTTTGGTTCGTTCAATGGTGCTAAGGACCATTTGGCCCCCTGCTCAATCACTTTGACCAGCAAGGTTCGCTGCACCATTTGCCTGGGATCGGGAATACACCACATGCGTCTCCGATACCTAAAATGCACTTGCCGAGAGCATTGCGCAAAGCGACTCAAAGTTCTTCAGTGCTCGCTTGACGACAGAAGTGTGGCGTACAAGCGTGGAGAGTACGGTGACTGCCACGGCCCAATGTCGAATGCAATGACACGGACCATTCGAAACCAAGCCGACAGATTGTTTGCAGAGGGAATCCCGCCAAGCAGGGTACAGCACCGATTGAAGGAGTTCGTGCATGCAACGAATATGCCGCATGTGAAGGTGTTCCAAAATCGCGCTCGGTATTACCGCAGTGTTTGTATGGATGAGCACAACAAGCC